CAATTGCCGTCAAGCTAGCATGGCGTAACGAACACATCGCCTTCCCTCCGCGTAGCGCTCAGAGATCAGCGCCAGGGAATCTGCGGTACAGGCCGTAGCCAGAAGAACGAACCCAGTAAGTCAAGCCTTTTGCTGTTGCGTTGTCCACGAGGAACGCCGCGGCATCTAGGGGAGATGAGCGCATGTTTACCAGATGTTCGATTTAAGATCCTATTGCGCATCGCATCAAGAGCGATGGGGGGTTCTAGTGTTCGGCACCAGATGTTTATAATACTATGTATATATGAATGAGTATGAATGAATGATGAATGAATGCATGCATAAATGATTAAATTAAATAATGCTAAATGCATATAATAATGAATGGCATGGCGCAATGGGGTAAGTTCTCGATAGTACACATATTATACAACGCGGCATCACCTCTGACTTTCCTTTAGTCGTGCTGCTTTTCTCTGCCATGTGCGCACATTTTCGGCCATCGTCGCTTGGAAAACATAAAGCGCTGACAGGTGTGCTCGGCGTGTGAGGCCTCGTCGATGGGCCGATGTAAGTTAACCATGCAGGACGAGACCACGCTTCGATGGTTGTGCGCGAGCATACAGTTAGAGACATCCTGAAGGAAAACCGACGAACTGCGAGGATCTGCGCTTGGTAACTAGCAGAGAGGATCTTGCGGCGTATATAGAGAAATAGATATAACCCAATGGATTTTAGAAGAGACAAGCGAGACCGAGAGAGAGAGAGAGAGAGAGAGAGAGAGAGAGAAAGAGAGAGAGAGAGAGAGAGAGAGAAAGAGAGCGCGAGAGAGACAGATGGAATTAGGATCTGCGGCGAACATAGAGACGTTTAAATCACGTTAATTGATGCATTTTACTTTATTCATATAACATGAACATACATGCTATCATGAGCATTAATATTATATCAGGAGTGAATAAGAATAGATCTATTACTCCTGATAAAATCCAATCTACAATATTAACTTTGCTCGCAGCATCGCGCCACGATTCCTACCTATGTTATAATGTATATGAAAATGGCGCACTGACGTCGGTCGTCGTTGACCGCAATATAATTTTCTTCGGCCGATCTTATACGTTCAAACTAGAGCTGGGCGGGCCGACGGCACGTGTGCATGGTAAAATTCAATCTACAACATTAACTTTGCTCGCAGCATCGCGCCACGATTCCCACCTATGCTAATGTATATGAAAATGGCGCACGGACGTCGGTCGCCGTTGACTGCCAAGGCTATTTTCTTCGGCCGATCTTATACGTTTAAACTAGAGCTGGACGGGCCGACGGCACGTGTGCATGGTAAAATGCGATCTATAATATTCACTTTGCTCGCAGCATCATGCCCTGGGTTCCCACGAATTATAATGTGCATGCAAATAACGCTCGCACGTCGGTCGCCCTTGCCTGCCAAGAAAATTTTCTTCGGCCGAAATCATACGTTCAATCTGGAGCCAGACGGACCCACCGCACGAGTGTATGATAATGATATTATGTATGATGTGAATGATATGAATACACGAGGAAAGTAACGGAATGTAAGCGCTTATATTATTTACGATAAACGCACGGCGCGCTCTAGCGTGTATAATAATTAATCAGGTGCCTTACGAGCTTCACCTGTTGATCACACCCAACAAAATACAAGTGTCGCGTTGCATGAAGGTACACCGCGAGCGGTGACGTAATAGGTATATACAGCGAAATAAAAGCCACATGTAAAGCGGTTATCACCAAACTAGTTTTCACTTCTTGCTTACATGATATACGCGTATGTCCGCGATGTGAAAATTTTGCCGACGTGCATTACGCGCGTACGTGCTTCTCGGCGCTGTGTCATAAATACTGTGTCATAATACTGTGTCATAAATACTGTGTCATAAATTTACTTCTTAGAAAAGCACAGTATCGTGAAAAACAGTTTAGATTCGATATGGTAGCGTTTCCGCTATAAATCCACTACTGTATATATTTGCGTATTATGTATACGACGCTCTCGCCCTTCACTGTAGATGGTAAAGTGACTTCAGGGAGAATCGCGTCAAAAAACAATATTATGTCCTTCACTATGCAGTTACGAGTTTTCGCCGAGACAGAGTCCGCGAGTTTCTACCGTTGTAGCCTTTTTGCTTCCGCTACCTATAGCTCCCTATAGCGGGAGCGGAAGGGGCTACCCTGGCAGAGTTTTACCAGAGAGTGACCCTATCTGCCTTTTCTCGCGGCTCTTGCAATGGTGCTAAAAATAATAGGCGCTTAGTAAAGCTCGTAGGGTCTATGTCCCCCTGACCTCTGTTTGACCTGGCTCGTTTAGCTATTTCTGACTAACCCTAACCCTAACCCTAACCCTATATATATTATATATTATTACCTTCGCCAGGGGCTTGGCGGGGGTTATGTTTTCACCGGCGTGTGTTTGAGTGCTTTTTTGTGTGTTTGTGGATTTGTGGGTTTGTTAACATGCACGTTTCAGTTCACTTCCGCTAGGTGCGCTGGCTGTAGACTTACAAACACGCAACCAGCAGGCTAAGGGGCAACCAACAGTCGCTCCCCCACCCTGCCAGCGCTCGCACAATCGCCGGATCCAATTAATTATTTAAATTAATTAATTAAATTAATTAAATTTTTCCACTTAAATTAATTAATTAATTAATAAAAATTTCACATTGAGAAAAATTCAGCTGCCCTTGGCGGAGGTCTGTCTCTCTGGAGTGCGTCTCAAAAAAAAAAAAAAAAAAAAAAAAAAAAAAAAAAAAAAAAAAAAAAAAAGCTAGTATATATATATTACTATAATATATATATTAGTCAGAAATAGTTAAACCGAGCCAAGTCAAACAGAGGCGGGGGAACATACGACTTATCTGGCCTTAGTTAAATGTGTATCTGTAGCGTCTTTTACTTTACAGCCGGCCACTTTTTGCAGCACATTCTACATTCAATACGCGTCTACGGCGGGGAAAACGTGTCTAGAGTTTCATAATGTAATTCTATATGTAATGTAGAGGCCATAATGTACATTGCCATCTATTAGTGCGCAGCTATAGTAAGGGATCCGGTGTACGGTCGGTGTGTGAATAAAAATGTTTGTTCGTGGAGGTCACAAAGCACATTGGAAGCCGTTTCAATAGTAAAATAATGGTAAATAAACACGAAATGTATGTCTTACTACCAAGTCTTATGTGTTTCTCTCTCCCTTTCGCCTATAATGACGATAACTTTCTGTAAAATGTCCATTATGCCGCTCATATAGAGTTCGTCTTCAATATGTCTTGTTGTTTGTGCACAGCGGGGCCGTGCGTGCGGTGAGGCCATACTTGTTTGTTGTAGGAGGAGCATTTGAAACGG